CAGCTAGGAAAGACCCACCTCAAGTCTCAAAGTAGGCTGTCGGCAGACAGCATGGCTATCTCTAATCTCCTGGGTCCTGTTGGGAACCCAGAGGCTGGCCTGGCACCTACAGGGTTTCTAGCACCAGGTGCTTGTGGCTTCAGACCCTCCTCCAGCCCCAGCCCATCTGTTGATGTAGGCTGTCTACCTGGCCGTCAGGTGAAGGAAAGAGCATTGGAGAGGGGGTCAACATGACTTCTCCCAGCTCTACAGTGAACTGGTTTAGTCAAATTAGTGCGGGTTGAATGAAGTTAAACCTGGTTTCTTGACTGCATAGATTCCGAGTGCTTTTGACACGGGGTGTGTACTACGAACCTACGAAAACTGAATAGAGACAGGGCTTCCTAGACATAGCTGACCATGTACCTTTCATGAAATAGGAACCTCTTACCACGTTGTTGGGTTGTCCACGCAAATAACACGTACGTTCTATGCTTTTGCAAACCACGCAAGCTCCCCACACGTCCCTGTGTGCGCTGAGCATGTTATGTGAACGTGTGCACTATTCGTGTGGACACAGTCTATTCGGGGGAGAACCAGTCATGTCTCGCTGGACACAGCCTGTGAAGTGCCGGCCTCCCAGCGGCTGTCCTGATGCTGGCCGTTCCAGAGCTGTTGGGCGGCTGCTGCCCTCCGCTTCCTCAAACGTCTTGGAGGAAGAGATTTCTGCTGGGTAGTCGGGATGGCCAGTCTGTGGTGCCACACAGACTGTGTGGAGAAGCCCACCGAACTCCTTCCTTGGGGATCAGGATCTCTTGCTCCTCTGAGAATTGGTGACAGTCCCTTAAAGACCCTGTGGTTGGCTCTCGGCTGTCCAAGTTGGGACCACACTCTGGATGGGAGCTGCGGTGCAGGGTTTCCCCTGGGATCCAGAAGGCTCCCCTTGTCACCAAAGGTCTGATTTCCTTCCTGCCCTCCAGTTCCCACTGGAGGCCAGGTGGGCAGGGACCTTTGGCTGCACGGTCTGCAGCTCAGGATGGAACAAACATATGGGGGTGAGGGGTTGGTAGGTTTCCTTGGCTGAACTTTTCTCCTTTAGTTTGCAAAATACTGCCCAAAGAGTCTTGCCTCGTAGATTGCTGAGGTCCAACTTTGTGTCTGAATTTGCTGGGGGTGTGGGTTGGGGGGGCGGGCCTAGAAGGAGCCTTTGCTCAAAAGGCAAGCAAAACACGAACAAGACATGTGAAAACTAGCCGTAAAGGGACATCTCACTTGGTTACGGAGCCAGAGAGGAGGCAAGCATGGCGGGCAGAGGGCTGGGAGGCTTGTCTTTAAGTCCCACCTGGAGGAATCTAGAGACTCTCAAAGGCCCACTCCTCAGTGTGACAAGGCTGGGATGTCCTGGGAAAGTTAGAATGAGAAAACACAGAGCGGATCAGTTCCTGGATCAAAGGCATTTAGAAAGTATGTTCTCAGGCCCTCCATTCTGTTCCCGCCAGGAGCCAAGGCTGAGAAGCAGGTGAGGCAGGTGAGGGACCTGCATGGGCTTAGTCAGAGAAGAGGCTGGCGAAGGACTTCCTCAGGTTTCGGATGGTTTCAGCCTTGGCCTCGTCTTCGCTCGGGGCCCCTCGCTGGGATGCGTCCGACGTGCTGAGGCTGTTCGTCAGGGACTGGGATTTGCTGAAACAGAAAGGCACACAGGTTGGGAGAAGACAGCCTCCTTAGGAAATGAGTCTTGGGGGCGGGTGTTAAAAAATCATCTCAATGGGGGTGGGCTCTTACAAATCTTATAACAATCCATCATTCAACTGTATCAAGCACACTTGTACATGTTGCCATCCACATTTCCAAAACATTTTCTTTCTACTTGAGCCCCTGGTATCAGCTGCTCTTTTCCCCTGTCCTTCCCCCACCCTCCTACCCTCATTGAATCTTTGCTCAATTATATATTATTATTTTTATTTCATGTCTTAAAAGGGCGGTTGTCTCCCTTAACCCACATTTCTGTTATTCATCCCCCTCGGAGAGGTGGGGCTATTTATCCAACCTTGTGATGGGTTCTCCCTTTCTCCCTCTCCCCGCAACCCCTCTACCCTCATGATAGCACTACTCCCACTTCTGTTCCTGAGAGTTTTATCTGTCTTGAATTCCATGTGTCTAGAGCTCTTATCTGTGCCAATGTGTGCAAGCTGATCTAGCCAGATTTGTAGGGTAAAACTGGGTCATGATACTGGGGGTGGGGGTGGAGTAGGGTGGGGAGAAGAAGCATTCAGGAACTAAAGGAACGATGTGTGTTTTGTCAGTGCTATACTGCACCCTGGTTGAATTGTCCCTTCCTTGTAACCCTTGGGGGATGTCCAGTTGTCTACAGATGGACTTTGGGTCTCTACTCCAACCCCCTTCTTTTGCATTGATATAAATGTTTGTTTGGGATCTTTTGACAACTGATTCTGTCGACACCTCCTGATCACACAGGCTAGTGTGCTGCTTCTATGGGGTCTTATTTGCTTCCCTGCTACATGGCTGCTTGTTTAACTTCAAATCTTTAAGACCCCAGATGCTAACTATATCTTTTGATGGCCGGGCACCATCCTCTTTCTTTACATTTGCTTATGCACCCCTTTTGTCTTTAGTGATCGTGTAGGGAAAGTGAATATCAAAGAATACCAGGTTGTTAGAACAAAGTGTTCTTGTGCTTATGGAGGACTTGAGTAGAGGTCCAGAGTCCGTCTGCTATCTTAATACTTAGCTGTTACAATACCCTTGCAAGGTGGTTCTTCTGATCCTAACCTCTTCTCTTTTTTAAACGCTTCTTAAAAATTGTGCTCACACAGACCTTGAGATAAAACCCCAAACAATTAGGGCCATAAATGAGGGAATTGGGACAAACCTGAGAACCTTGG